TCTTCTTGGCAGGTGACGTCATCCCTTGGGTATTTAAGAAGCCAAGATCGCAGTTTTAGATCACCCCTGACGAAGATACTAGACTGGAGTGTCGAAACGTTGGGTCTTGATTACAATTCGACTGGGCTTTGTAATCATTTATTTAAACCAGAGTAGCGAGCGAAACATGATTGATATACCTGGTTGCAGTGAATGAACAAACTTTATATCACTGGAATAAGCAGCACAAAATTAATAAATGAAATTTGAATATTTTTATTGCTACATCTTGTACACTATACATTACATTAAACACTTGCGCGAAAGAAGTTAATTTTGAAATATCTTTTATATTATAATGACACACATATTAAAAAAAATACATATGACAAAAATATATATTTTTCATTCACCCTTCTACGGATAAATGCGGCTAAGTAACACTGTAAAACTCCGAATATAAGCCCCAGGGCTTCGTAAGCATTTTTTGATGGGCTTAACATAAGTAGGGGGTGGGGACTATATACAGGGGGTGTCTTATATACGAACGACTCTTGATGTTAGTAATTAACATATTATAATACTGCAATGTAGCCCCCATGTTATATACGAGGGGCTATATTCAGGGAAAAGGCTTATATCCGAAATGACAGGACCGTTTGTGAATATGGTGGGTTATAAACAGGGGGTGCTTATAATCGGAGGCTTATTAGGTTTACAGTATTTTTCGACTTGGCCTATATATACTTATAGTGGATAGCTTTGTCCTTCCTATAGGTAATGTTATTGGAAACAACCACTTAATTGTGACAACTGTTAACCTATTGTAGAAATGCTTTGGCTCTTGGCTCCTGCTATACTGTTTGTTATGTTTACAAAATATTTATTTGTTCAGGAAAATTGACAGCCCGGCAGAACCTTTTTGCACCATCAGCCAAGTGGTCTGATAATGAATACCCTACAACGACCCTGGGAAGTCGGTCAATTGTCTGAATAAGGGGGCGGTGGTCCCATGACTTCTGAGTATGGTGGCGGCTCGTCCCCGGGTCTTGGCCGTGTGTATCTAGCTTGTCTTGATGGTTGAATCGTCAAGTGAACTCTCTCTTGTCTTAGCTCACCATCCTAAATAGAATATGAAAAAAGTATTTAATTACTAAGAGTACAAGGAAATGGCAAAATGTTATTCTAAATACTTGTGTGCATTATGAAATATATATTACTGCTGTCACAACCTAATTTGTGGCTGTGTGACCTATGCAGTTGTGTGAGTGTTAGTAGTTTGCAAATCAGGGGTGCGATGTAAACCCCTCCCCCACTTGAAAATCACAAAAAGTCAGTCCCAGTTTTGTTTGAGATTGTATCAAAAGAATCCACAAATGTCTGGTGTAGATAGGGACATTTTTCATCCAAATTCTTTAACTTGGTGCCAGGAAGTGCAAGAAATGAGCCTCAATTTTGCAAATTTTCCCCAGGGAGCATGCTCCGAACTCCCTAGTTTCACCGTTAGTTATTAATTGCTACTCTGTTACAGTTAAATCGTGTTTTGCATATTGTGTTTGCACTTGACTGAAAATCTTAACTATGGTTCCCAACTTAGCTGGAACTGATTTGAGCCTTCCCAAAATAAAACCCTGGTTGTGGAGGACAAGAAAGTTGGTCCCAGATCGTCCAACCCCCAACCCCAATTTGGCGACCTTTAACATGACCGCTATGACGTCAAGTGCAAACCAATTACCAAAATAATTCAGCTTCAGTTGCATGTGAGAATAAGAGTACTTCCAGTTTTAGTCTACCAAACACCAAAGGTTTTATCCAGGTTCTACGGTTTACTTGTTCCTATTTTAGTGATTCTGGCCTGATAAAGGATGACCCAAACTGGATCTCTGAAGGGAACAGTTTAGAACTGATAAAATGCTTACCCGATTGGAATCACTATCACACAATCTTGACATTGGTCTTGCTGTGTTTGTTGGAGAGTCATCAGCACTTCTACCTCTTCTTCGATGCTATATAGTAAAGTGTCATGGAAAGCAATGTCAAGGCTGATAATCAATAACATTATTTAATATTAAATAAGTCATGATTTGTAATTGACTAACAGTTAACTGTTAAAGTCGGAGAATGTTGATATGAAAAATATTAAACACTACGATGTCAACCCAATGACAACTGCTGAAGGAGTCAGGAATTGTGTCGAAACACAAATGGCCTCAACAAAAAGTAAAGATAACTCGTCTAAAGGTAACATAAACTTAAGTTAGATAACTCATCTCAACCTCATCCATATATTTTTGGGTTAGTATCGTAAAATAGCTAGGTCCTTTGTTTGACAATGAGTGACTGGATTGGAGAACAATGAGATTTTCAAAACAATGAAAGGATTTGATCAGTAGATTGTGACTGACAAACACTATCGTTATGGTATAAGTACTACACAAAGAAGTCTAACCTTGCATATTTTACAATCTTCAAGCAAAATATTACACCCCATTGCCGTAGACAAACATGCAATACCCATGTCGAACGTCAAGACGCAAACCAAACAAATGACGACAATTTCAGAATGGTTCATCATGCTTAGCATCCAAGCAATGCCTATGAGGTTTGAAAACATGGACAATAACGAGAGTACCATGTAAAATCCAGCCTAAAATTATGACAGCAAATATTAAAATTAATAATTAACCCATTGAGTCGTATTGCAACCTGATGCGCATTACTTTATTATTTTACCCTGTCTAATGCCAGACGATTTTACTTGTCAAGGAGAGAGTGCTGGCGCTTAATGGATTAACAGGCCCATCCACCCATGTGTCTAGTAAGTCTAGTAAACCCATGAAGTTGCATTGCGCCCTGATGTGCTCTACTTTATTATTTTACTCTGTCTAACGACTCTGTCTCCAGACAATTTTACTTGTCAAGGGAAGAGCGCTGGCGTGTAATGGGTTAAACAAAATAACAAATAAACAGTCCATTATATTTTCCCAATTTATTCGATGCTAATTATAACCTATATTTATATGCTCAATGCCAACACTTGACAGAGTAAAATTTTCCCTAGCCCTTTAAATGGCAATATCCTACTTTAACACCTGATCATTCTACTCCATAGAGAGTGGTAGCACTCAGTGGGTTAAGGAGACATGGAGGGTTATTCCTTTAATTTAAATGGCTAGCTAATAAGGATCTGTTGTTGACATATAGAGCTTGCGATTAAAAATTAATGACCACAAACATTAATTAACAATTTAATAGCAGTTCACAAATTTTACATTAGCCCCCCAAATAAAATGTAATGCTCACATAAAATTTTGTCTTCTTGACATGGCATTGGATTCCAGAAAAGCCAGTTAAAAGCAGCTACAGATAAAATATTTAAAATATTAACACAAAATTAATATAATTAAAGGTTTTCCCACCAGACATAAACAACACTTGACACTAGCGACCACAATGGGAACTGAAGAGTTTAATTCCGATAAAATGTGGGGAAAATGTAATAAAGCTCTTGTATTAAGCTTGTTAAATAATTCTAAAGACAATACAAAGGGAATTTTTCATGATAAATGACCGGCTCCTATCTTTTGATACAGCTGGTATGAAATCAATTTTACATGAACTTGCGTGCGTGCGCTTTGACTTTCGAGCCACGAATTTTCACACGAAAACGTTTGTTTAAATTGTTTGTCTGCAAAGAATTTTAGTAAACAGTATTTGTGATACATATTGAATTTTTCCCTGTGCGAATGTGGAAAACTGAGCTGTAATATACTCCAACTTATTTTCATGTAATTTGAAAGTTTATACAAAATAATTCTGCACGTACTGAAATTTTCGGCATCTTTGTGATATTATAGCGTGTGTTCCGTGTAATCAGCCAGTCACGAACAAACTTAAACTGCATTGCATTGTTCTGTTCAAAATTTAAAGGATTTCTTTAATATTTTTACAACACAATGCGCTTAGAAGTTTTATAACACGAATACAATCGAACAATTTACTATGTTCTAATTGGAATCCTGTTACATTTAAATTTCAAAATATGTCGCAAAATTCAAAACAGTACACAAACATTTATTCCATTGGAAACTTTAACTGCGCTATTTCATTTCAAAAACAACAGCGCAAAATATTGTATCCTCAGAACTCGCGACTCACCAAAAGCCCGATCCATAAAGGCAAACCATAAACACGTTCAATAGTGGCACTCTTGATTATGGCCATTGAAAAAACACCAACAATGATGCACGCAACGGAGCAACACAGATGAATGATGGCCGTTTGTAAAGCAAGCTTTCCGCGGCGATCTCTTCGCAAGGTTCGCACTAATATTCGCGGATCGTCTTCCATATTCCTAGCTATATTTCCAAACGTGTCTTTTGAAACGGCGGACTGTTAATTGAGCAACAAACAGCAGATGTTTTGAAGTTTATTAGCATCCAAAAAGGTCATTTATTTGACTCACAGCTGTTTAATAATAAAGACGTGACCATTCGCTATGCAAATTCCTCCATAAAAAATCTAATTCACGTCATACTATCTTCACTCCAAGATAAAGTAGAAGCGAAAAGACTTCACATCAAAAACATTACCCAATCAGACGTATATGAGCAAATAAATTCACAACAACAGTAAGCACTAAAGTGAGTAAACAGTATTAAAGCACGATAATTTTTGATCAGGAATCGACAGGGCGCCCAAATATTTACGAGTAGACTTCAAGTGGGCTTCAGCCAGTTGACATTTGAGAAGGGTTTTGCCGCAAATCAATAATTCAACAAGTTTTGATTCGCGTGAAACAGTTCAAAAATTAAAAGAGAGCTGAAACAGTTCAAACCTCTGAGTTCAAACCGATGTTGAAGGAATTACTGAGCGCTATATAGACTTTATATGTAAAGTATTTATCCTCAAAAAAACAATTGATACCCTTGTTGGGTTGACGCGGCCTTTAAAAACAGGAAACCGTTATCCTCAGGGAAATTGCAACTTCCTGCAATTTTTGAAGGGTGGCGAGTGACAAAGACAAAACGTTGAAAAGATTCATTGAAATTTACTGTAATTGACATATATACAGTATTTTCGAATGAAAATCATAGCCATAGGAGCCATAGTTTAAAATTCAATAAAATTTCATTGTGTTACCGTGAAAATATTCTACCAACAGTTTTTGTAGTTCTACAAAAACAGTTGTAGTTCTACAAAAACAGTTGGTAGAATATTTTCACGGTAACACAATGAAATTTTATTGAATTTTAAACTATTTTAGTCTTTCTTATGCTTTTTACCACCAACTATTGGGCCTCCTATGATGAAGACATCACAGACACTTATTTCGGTGGGCCCCGCAGGCATTAGACACACACATAGCAATATTTACAGTATTAAAGTAGCCAAAAAGTCTAGATGCCTGAAATACTGTATATAGTGTATCACTACCAAAAGTGAATACATACTTTAATCCTCTCATAAATCTTCTGATATACTACAAAACGTCAATATTGTCTATTGGTTGAGCGATTGAACATTGAGTGGTATATGATCACCTCATATAATTGTTATTCTTTGAAATGTCCCAAATATAATACGCTTTCCAAAAATGGTTCTTGGAAATAAACTCTCTTTATTCAACTCTTTACAGCAATATCGATTAGGTGCTGATAAATTTATTTTCAAATCTTAAATCTTTTTAACTAATTTCTTGGTAGGGTACTCCGTTTTCCTCCTGTAGTAACACTGGATCAATAAGGGATGGCTCTTACTGGACCTCTACAGAGAACAGTTTAAAACTAATAGACCTGTTTAGTATAAATCTATAGTACAAAATGTCTTCGTAATATTTCTCAAACTCTTTCTAATTTTTTTGGTCAATGTTCCATTCTATTTGTAATACTCCGTTTTCCAGAGCAGTACTATCTTCGTCGCTCCCCTTTCTGAGTCCGTTTTTTCTCTTTATCTTTCCTTTGTTCTGCTTTCGTCTTTTGTTTTTCCCGATCCTCTTTGTCTTTCACTTTCTTATCTTCATTTTCCTGCCGCTGTTTGTCCCGTTTCTCTTTCTCCTTATCCAAAACTGACTTCGTATTTGTGTTTTGAAATACACCTGGAATATTCAAAGTTAGTTTCAAGTTTGTAGTAGTTTCAGTTAGGGACCAGTCAGTATTTATGGCGGGGGAGAGAAAAGGGTTGGATAAACAAAATTTTAAGTGAGTAAAAGGTTGGGTAAATGAAAAACAAAACAACTCCAGAGTTAGGTAATAAAAAAAAATGTCATTTCCAAAGCATGACTCACTCAAATATTGAAGACTAACGTCCGTATTCCAAAAGCTCACTCACACTCAATGAGTGGAGGTTCAATCTGAGCTTCTCTTGAGTGTTAATGCTGTTTTTGAATAGCTGGAGGGCTAGTCTCATACTTTATTCGGCGACTACTCACCCTTCAGCTATTCGAAAACAGCATTGACACTCAAGAGAAGCTCAGATTGAACCTCCACTCATTGAGTGTGAGTGAGTTTTTAGAATACGGGCGTAAAAAGCAATGTCAACCATCATATGTCAATACAATATGTAAATCAATGAGAGTCATTATCTTGATAATTTTCCGGTTTGTTAGGAGGCAAATTAAGTGTCTCCATAGAGAGTACATGTGCAGGCAACATGAAACTTTAGACTGCAGAAAATTGAGCAAGCAATCATCAAAGTCATGTCACAGAAGTGGTAAAGGACATGTTTGACAACCAGTACCTTTTGTAAAGTTTTTGGCCAGGGATGAGTATTTATTTTTTAATTGATATTTGAAGTTGGGTAAAATATATAGAATAGTGAATGAAATACAAATAAAAATACCTTTGTCTTTTTCTACTGGTTGTGATTTAGTTGTCTGTGATGGTGCTTCTTCGTCACTGCTCGAGGTAATATCAGTTAAGGAAATATGTAATTCTCATTATTAACAATATTCAATAGAAAAGCACAAAAGAAAACATAACTGTGCATGAGGAGCTTTCACATTTGATACAAAAACCTGTTGATTTACATAAATTTTAACCCTTTAAGAAGCAAAGGAACCATCATTGCAGGAACCATCTGGAAAACACTTCTTGTGATGTTGGTTTCCTGAATAAATATTATTATCATTCATTCAATACAGTCTACTTTACTATTTTATTCTGTCAAGAGGGTACATTCAATTGGTTAAGTTCACAAATTGTTCTAACTAGCTTAAATCTTGAATCAAAGGATATTAAAAATCTTCATCATATTCCTGACCATATTGGGCTATCAAATTTTTTTTAACATTTTCATCAAGTTTATGGGATGGTTTCTTGTTTACATTGTTTGTTGTTTTCATTTGTTTTTCTACCACAGCGGCTAAAATGTCTTGTTTTTGGTTTTCTAATAAAAAACACAAAACTATTATTTTAAACTAATACAAGTAAGAGTAATACTCAATGTAACTGATGACTGAAAAGCCCTGTTAGGGAGTAATATATATATATATATATATATATATATATATATATATATATATATATATATATATATATATATATATATATATATATATACATATACATATATATATGTATGTATGTATGTTATACGGACCATAAAAATATTCCCCCGGCCAGATAATTAGACCCCCCCTCTTTTAAGGATGGCTACACCTCTGTGTGGTCAATCTAAAGATAATGAAAATTGACTACCCACCACTTTCTTGTTTTAGTTTTGCTTTCTTTTCTTCGCATTCCTTCCACTTCATAAAGATATCTGAACTAACATTGTTATCAGGCGACTCCTACATGTCAATAATTTAATACAAAGTGTCTATTCAGCCGGCCGCCAGCTATTTAGTACAATGCTGGCTATATAGTGACTATAGTTAAAATATAAAAACTTTTGTTTGAGATGGCTTTCACCGAGCTTGCCATTAGCGTATATGGTAAAGGCATTGCGTGCGGAGGGTGAAACACAGTCTGGGTCGTGTTATGTTTTGTCTGACTTAGCATTTTTTTCCTTAAAATTTTTTAATTAAACTTTTTTTCTGCCTTTTCTAACTCTCAAAAAGGTTAGGTTAGGAGTTAGAGAAAGGTTTGGGGTCGGGATCGGTTATCTTATATAACCTTTTATATCTATATAGACACTTCGAATTTAATATAAAATGTTCAATGTTTATAGCATCTATAGTATGTCATGAATGTACAACATTATAATGATCTGCTCAAAAGTTTGTTCAATTAATAATTCACCATTAAGCAAGCATATAATTGGTGATTTGTCGGACAAACTGATTTGTCAAAATGTATATTCAAATACCATCATTCCTTCTAAAGTTTCTTTTAAAGCTTCTTCTTTTTCTTCAGGGGTAGAATCGTCTCCATCTAGAATGCCAGAGATATATTCTCCGAGTACTTCTTCGTCAAGGTTCAGACTTTTTAAACGTGAACACAGCCACACGTGGAATTCACTCCCGGCGCCCGCCATCTTGAATACGATTCTTCTATAAAATGTTTCCACTTTGTAACAACAGAATTTCAAAAATATTCATTTCCAAAATTTTTCAAAAAATCGAAAAATTCCTAGAATTACAGTAAAATTCCTAGAATTTTCGTCAAAATTACCTAAAACCTTTGCCAAGAATGCTCAAATCTCATTCTTTGCAAATGGTGACATCTTGGAAATTAAACACTACAACATAGCCAACATTTGATACAAACTATGTCTGAATTCTGACGGCAGAAAGGTAACAAACAATAACAACAATGGAGTAGAAAACAATAATGAAATTCCAGAAGGAACATAGCAAATTTTCTGCCATCAATAGGCACAAATGAAGTGTGAAAGTCAAAACATGACATACTTTAATTAAACAAATATTAAATTTGAACATTCCATATAATTTACATATATTACACTCTTTATCAATTGCGTTGTATTTTTTTTAACATTGAATGATGTATGCGTGGTATTTTGAACTAATCTCTAATTTTCAATCAATGCAGACTAGCTGTCATGTTTGCAAACCGTGTGCTGAAATACTTTCTCCAAAAAAAGCATGTACACACACAATCACAAACATGTTCTAATTAGAGGCAAAGTTGTATCGTTTACGCCTCAAACGTCAAGGTTTGACACCCAAAGTCTTGCACAATACTTTATAGGCACAATTTGCAATAATTTTCTCAATCTTGCTGATAGCATAATTGTTTAAGGCATTGTGTGTGAAAATGAAACAAGGTCTGGGTCGATTAAGTTTTGAAACAAAGTCCGACTCTTTTTTGTCCGACTTTCTCAAATTTTTATCAAATTCTTTTCCAACTTTTTTAAAATCTCAAATTGTTTATTAGACTTTTATTGGTTGGGGTTAGAGAAGGGTTTAACTATGATAGAGTAGAAGGTGCTATTCCGTATTTAGGCGCAAGTGCATGTACACGCTAAAGCCCATTTTCCACAGGCAATTTTTATGTGCGAACAATCACATTCCCAAGATTTGTTTTTCGCTTTGCACGAACAAATTCACCTAGTGAAAAATGGGCTTTAGGCATTAACGACAGTATGCCAGCAAATCATAATTTCCTAATTTCCATCAAGCCATCAATTGATGTAAAACTATTTCCTTGTTATCATCCAATGACTTTACTTATTTGTCAATTGAATACAGCCGTTTTTCCCAATATCTTCTTGTTGCTTCCCCAAATCTTGGCTTCGCACCACAACGTATTGGAGATTATCCAACCATTTTCCAAGCCAATGTGCTAGCTATTCAGATCCTGTCTCAAAAATCTGGCTGTGTCAGCCGCCACAAGAATAAGTAATATCCATAAAACAGTGAACACATAGTACCAAGAAAATAAAACGTGTCCATCCAGCTTGCTTGAAACCAGACAAACAAAGATGAAATTTAATACTACAAGCAAAAGAAACCAGAGTTTTCGCTTCACAGAGAGTTCATCGTCATAAAAACGTCTCCTAGAATGCCTTATAATTCTCGACGAAACTACGAGTATTAAAACGCCGTCGTATATTAAAACGGGTACGAATACAACAAAATAGTTCCAGTCGCTTTCACTGTCCACTCGTACGACTAAAAAAATGGTTGTTATTAAAGTTACACTCCAAAGACACAATACTCTTGCAGGCAAAGGAACGCCGCCAACCATATTTGAAAGACTCGAGCTTCGTCCGCGCTTTGTTTTGACCCGTAGGAGACTGGTAATGATTGAACTTCCCATTGGAAAATTAAGATAAATAAATAAATTGGTAAATCTATTATAATTATCATTATTATATGTTTTATTGGTAAATCTTTAATAACAGTTCAAAAATGGCAAATTTTTTCTGTCCGCAACTGGCGCGCACCGAAAAAAACCTATACAAATTATTAGATTTAACGTTTCCTTGTTTTTACTACATTATGCGGGACTTTTTTACGGGAATTTACGGGACTTTTTAGTGAATTAAAACTTAAAAAAATCCTGCGCAAATTTCCCCCCAAAACAGCTGCCGAAAGAAGACAATTTTGCGCAACACCTGTTTTGCAGGCTATCACACCTTAAAAACAGGCAAGCCCAGCACGCGCAATCCAGTGAACTCTATATATGTATATCTGGAATGATAACAGCGAGCGAAAAGTGAAGCCGACAAAAAAATCACGACATAAGTATTCGTCATTGTCTTCGTCATCAACTGTTCAAGAACTTTCTTACAGTATTAAAAATCACTTGCATATAAAATTTGTAATTGTTTTGAAAGTTTTTATCACAGTTTTTATATCTTTATTCACTTTTAACCTGAAGATGGAGTTATACTCCGAAACGTAGTT